AATGTGAGCTGACTTTCAGGGACACGAAGTGGGGATAGTGCCTCAAGTTGGCTTGCTTCCTTAGCAATCTGTGAAAACAAAACCCAACAAAACAATTCCTCCTTTCCCAGAAGCTGGCACTTGCTCAAGTTTTTCTTTTCCAACTACTTTCCGTGGTAACACTCTCCACGCTATAGCTGGTAGGCATCAGTGTGCTCTGCATCCATTAGGGAAGGTCAGTCCTGAATACTAAACAGACGCACAGCTCTGAGTTTTGAGAACTGGAGGCTAACGACTGAAATGCATAACAATAGTCACCTTCCCTGTTCATGCTGTTCTAAGTTTCACATAAGCAGGCATATTTTAGAGACTGACTCCTTGAGCTGTCCTTATTTCCACCCCTGAAGTGAGAAACAATTAATTTGAGGCAGAAAAGTAATTCAAGAGAGTGTGCCAGCTTTCCTTACGTGCACATACATGATCCTTGTTTCCTGACAAAAATAGCACTTTAAATCCAGTCAATAATATCACAGAGACGACGTGGATACAAAAGAGCTAGGATTTTTTTTTTTAATAGCAAACTTTTTTACTTTATAAATAAATAAATAACAAAACATAAAAACCCTCCTACTCCAAATTACTTACTAATCCACAGAGATGACGTGGATACAAAAGAGCTAGGATTTTTTTTTTTTAATAGCAAACTTTTGTACTTTATAAATAAATAAATAACAAAACATAAAAACCCTCCTACTCCAAATTACTTACTAATTTCAGGTGGAAAAGCCCTAGGCAGTAAGAAAAAAAAAATTGACTCATGCATTAAGTAGATTGAATAGTTAACTTGAAGTTAAGTGGAAGCGGCTAGATAATGTTAAGTTGTCATGGTAGAAAGTAAGTTTTGGGCATTCAGCTTTCATCTTAACTATCTAAACTTGTAAAAATTCTCAGAGAGGCAGAAAGAAGGACTAAATTTAGACCCTTATTTAATGCATTCAAGAGCATGATTCATTTTTCTCCTGCCCTGGTACAGCCTGGGGAATCTGAATGTACAGCAGGCAACACATGGGTGTCCTGTAAATAAGTGGAAGTCTCATTCATTCCAAGGCTAGAGAAGGCCAGAGACACCTCATTTTCTCTGCCAACAAAGATGTACTTCCAGGCACCTCAATCACAAAAACGTAGAACCAGATTTCTAAGCTGGCGAGAGTCCGTCTGATTTTAGCTTTGCTCTGGCCATGGCACGAATGTGGCCGGAAATTTATTCTGCTGCTCCTCTCCTCTAAGTGGCTTTTCCTGTTCAGGCTGTAGTGGGATCTTGTCCAGCTCTCAGAGCCCATGCAACATGGGTCACCCTAATGAGATGGCCCAACAGGATGTCATCTTTTGGTAGCAGTGAATTTAACAACCCAGAGCCCAAGTTATTCCATGGTAGCCCTTAGATTGGGTCTTAGAGAGCTAGTATCATATATAACATAATACCTGAAGATAGTTTTGGGCTTTTTAAAAAAACAAATCAAAACCAAAAAGAAACCAAGTAAATAACAAATTCAATTCCTGTGAATTAAATCAGGGCGTTAGGCCACGTTTCCAGGGTAGAGCAGACCATTAATGTCCCTTATCCAGTTTCATGATCTCTGGCTTCTGATCACCTCCTTGCACTCTCCTCTGCTTCCAACACCAAAGCAAATACTGTGGCCTCCATAGTTAACTTGGATTAACGCTGGCCTGTCATTTATGTCAGTCCAGCACGTCTTACAGGTGAAAAGCACCAAAGTTATTTTGTGATTTTACAGTAACTTCATTTTTTCCCCTTTGATTTTAGTTTGAAAGCATATTTGGAAAGTAACCTTACAAGTCCCGTTCTTGCATCTTTGGCCTTACTGGCAGTCTCTGTGATTAGGACAAATGATAGGAAGAAAAGTGGAATGTATATCAAAAATCTGTAGTTAGGTAACATTGCCTCCCAGAAGTGGGGCATTAAAGTTTCCTTCCTTCTGAGGTGTAAGATTGATATCAATAACCCACCCGGAGGGCCCCCCTGTACATCCATAAACATCCATCCCAACTAAGAGATTATTTTCCCAAACATGAAATGGGCTCAGCAATTTTGAAGTCAAAAACGAAGAGTTAGATATGGAGCACGTGCATTATGTTAGAAATGAGTTGCTCTGAGAAGGTGTGTTTGAATGAGCAGCACTTGGAGAGGCCCACGCAGGATGGGATTGGTAGACTCTGGGCAAGGCGGGGGGTCTAGGTGATATGAGATCTGATCAGCCTGAACACATGCTTCACAAACCAACCTGGACACGGCACATAAAAGAGGCAAGACACCGTGGGGCAGCATAAATGACGTGTGCCTTTCTCAAACAGCTTGGTACTTGCTTCTCCTGGGCAGTTCTGAACGACCAGGTGGGTGGGGTAGTCACCCAATCCTCAATGAGCCCACCCAGTGCCATAACGTGAATATCAGATCATTTAAAGGACAGGGATGTTCCATGACCTTGGCCCAATGTAATGACAAATTGGGGGGCAGCCTTCTATACCCATTTGAGAAAGGACAAATACTCTTTAGCACTCTAGACAGAATACCGGCTGATTTAGCTTAGAACAGTGGCTACCATTGCAGCCAATTCCAGAACATCAAAAAGGAAGGCAAGTGGTTAGGGGAAGGGTGTCACGAAGGTCGTATCCATCTAAGGCTGGGTCAGGGACATATTGGGATTTGGGGTAGAAATTTATTCTCACACACACAGAGCACCACAAATCTAATGAACAGTGTGGGAAATCTATTTTCATGCTTCTCTCACACAACACACCTCTCTTCCATCTCCAGGGGGTTTTCAAGTTCTAAACTACAATCAGCCCTTCTTTTAAAAGAACAATCATAAATCCTCTTATTCAGCCAGATGGTGGTGTTTGTTGCACTAGGCTAGGTTCATAGTACAACATCAATAAATGGCCACTTGTAGAGGGACAGACAGAATCTCATTTGTAAAACACACCTACACCTCCCTCCTTCTCCCATCCCCAAATATTGCGTTGTCAAAACACCCGTGCGGGCTTAGTCTCATTTGGGGGAAGAAAGGAAAACTAGAAAAGGCAAAATAATGTAACTAAGTGGAAAAGCAATTTCTTGGGGGGGGCGGATAGCACATTTAATCTCTGAGGAGAGTGAGCACAGATGGGTGTTCTAAGTGTTGTTTTGCCTTTAGGGACCATCTGAAAGGAGGCTCTCAAAAGAACTCTCCCCAGTCCCTGGAAAACTGTCTTGGTGAAGGCTGTGCACTGTCAACCAAAGACATTACAACGGGGAGACGGAGTTAAAATTCTTCCTCAGTGAGTTGGCTGTGTCTCAGGAAGTAAATATTTGTCCCCTATAGGTGTTCCCGAAAGTCTTGGTTGCCTTGGATAATGCATTTTGAGAGGGAAAGGGTATTTGTTCAAAATCCATCAGGGAAGGGAAAATGTCGTTCCGGTGTGTTCTGTTGCTGGTGCACACATGCTCCTCACAGGCCTGGAGGACTCACACTCTTTGGTGCTTTGTCCTGATGCCCCTGGTCTTAGTCATAGCTGGGACGGGTGCAGTGGGGGTGGGG